AAAAGGTCAGTTTTATACTACTTTATCAAAACTGATTAATTGGTAATTATTAGAAGTACATCTTCCATACATTAGAAAGTTGGACAGCATCCTTGTAGAAAGTTTTCCTTTTTGTGTAAAAAATAATAATTAGTTGCAACGAATAATTTTATTTTAATATTATAAACATGTAGATTAATTAATAATTTCCATTGTAGACAGTTTAAAAAATATTCCTATAACCTGTTAATAACATATGCAACACAGTACACAAACAAGCAAATACAAAAAATCAAAATGTTATAAGAAATTATCTGTACCACATCCAGAATAAATTTTAAATATGTTGAGAGTAAATATAGCTTTTAAGCATTTCTCTGTTCAACTAGTTAGAATATGTATGAAATTTCAATTCAATTAAAACCTATTTTATTCAAATTTAAATTATATTGTAACATAGTAATAATTTTTAGTTAATTGTTTATTACAAAGGTGTTGCCATGCACTTAGACATGCTAATGTATGCTTTTAGAGATAACCCTTATTCATTAGAGATGATAAAACATGCACCAGTGAGATATTGTAAGGACCATTGATCAATTAGCACAAGGCTAAACGACCCGTGGCAGTATTAGCCGTAGTAATTGCTATTGTTGTTGTAGGTGTGTGTGTGTGTGTAATGTGTGAAGAAAATATTAATGCCTTCCTTCATTAGTAATTTCATGAGAATTAAGAACTTTAACGTAATAACACACAAACTTGATTGAGGAAAGGCTATCGCTGCTAATATTATAATGTACCAAAAACAATACTGAGCACTGGCATATTAAATGTGGGGTAACTTTTTCTTATTGTTGGGAAGTGTTCAATAGCTTGCAAGGTTTTTAATAATTACTAGTAGTCGCCATGGCGCCTATCCCTGCTTTGCCGAAAATATTTTTATAAATCTCTATCAAACATTGTGTTTTGCGAGGAAAATAGGGTAATTGCGCCGGTTTTCCGTCCAGCACCTGTTTTCGTCCATTTGACCGACTTGCCACAAACAAATACGGAAAATTAGAATACAAACCTAACTTTCCGTGCAAGTTTGGACTTGTTACAATCTATAATATCTAAGTAACAGTTCTGCCTGCATGAAAATGTAATTTGACAAGTAATAACTCCAAAAAAATCTACGGAAGTTGCTGCTGCACACAGGTGAATGGAAAACGTCGTCAAGTTAGAAAAAAAACGTGCCGGTAGGGAACTTTCATGGTATGTTTCATTACTGTTTTAGCTACTTTACGTAATTTTTTTGGCACGTATGTCTAATTATTAGCATAATAAACACTATTTTAAGGGTTTATTAAAGTTTTTGTATAGAAATCTTAGATAATTAAGTGGACTAATACTAGCATAACAATTTTGCAAGATTTTGGTTTTCGTCCACGTGGACGGAAACCCTGACACCTAGTTAATATTTTTAATAATCATTTTACTTCAATGGACCTACAAAATACAATGTTTTTTCTTCCAATATGATCTTTATTGCTATTACATTAAACATTTTAGTTTACGTCCACTTTTTAACAGTGATAAACCCATAAAAACCGTTAAAAAGATGTGGACGAAAACAAAAAACAGCTTTAAACGTTGTTGTGTTTTCGTCCATGACGTCATGAGCAAGCACTGGGGTGGACGAAAACCAAAATTAGCTATTCCTGTAGATTAGTTTTCGTCCATTTGTCCTTCGACCTATTGCAATATTTTCCTAAATTTAGGTAAGAAACTTATTTAAATCTTTTTGATATCATTTGAAAGCTAACAAAATTACCTTTCAAATGATATACCACAATCCATAGTTACTGTATTGTAGAATTGGTTTTAAGTTAATAATTCAACTGCACCCTTTTTTCTACACAGTGGTCGAAAACTAGCGTACACTAGGACGAAAACTGATTTTTTTGGACGAAAACTAGTGAAATCGCCTCTTTTGCATAAAATATTTAAAAAAAAAAACCCGTGGTATTTACTTATTGTCATATAATATTAACGTAAAGTAGACTATATAAGGACTAAAATGACATATCATACATATGAGTAAGGGTATTTTAAGATATTCATTTCGCATCACAAAGTTGGCAACTCCGATAATTGGACGAAAACTAGCGCACTTACCCTACCTAATAAAATGTATGTTTAGAGGAGAGAGATATCTACGGTTCCTTTAACCCACATTACGTGATACTAGATCAGCGATAGCCGAATAGGTAGCCCATAGGCGAATAGTTGGTGGTTTCTAACACCGATGACAAAACGCTGTTCATGCATAGGGCACAACAGGAATGAAGCCCCGCTGCGCGCGTGCAGCGTGACGTGATCTCGTTTTCATACAAATTACAGCCGCTATCGTGTGCGTATAAGGTTGCCAGGTCCAAACACACAAAAGCCGGACTATGTGCTTCATTTGGCCGGACATTTTACCCTAAAAGCCGGACATGCAATGAGGATCATTTCGATTTTTAGCTGTGAATGCAGATTTATAGGGCTAAGAAATCCTTAATACACAGTGCAAAAATTTTTGTTCTACGACAAAAATTGACGAAGTTATGGCCAAATTACTAAAAAAGTTCACTGACCGCCCGGCGCGGGGACGATGACGTCATTATATCCGATCCGAACGCTGCCGGCGTACTGCGTGGATAGAAAATATTTTTTTCTAGCCAAATTATCAGTTTTAGAGAAAAACTTGTAATGACATTTATTCATCAGAATAAAGTAAGCTATCGATAGGTAATTTTTAAAAATGGAAATTGTGAAAAATAACGCAAAAAATCCATACGCTCATACGATTCAATGGCACGCAGAGACGCGATTGGGGTCTCCGCGGTGGTATATTTGGCGAAACAATCATTAAGTTACACTCACCCCAACCGCGTCTCCGCATTGCATCGAATCCTATGAAAATGTGGTTTTTGGACATAGCAATACTTATTTTTCACAATTTTTATTTTTAAAAATTACTGGTCGATAGGTTACTTTATTTTGAAGAATAAATGTTATTAAAAGTTTTTTTCTAAAACTGATAGTTTAGCCGGAAAAAAATATTTTCCATCCCATTAGTACGCCGGCTGCGCTCGATTCGGATATAATGACGTCACGCGGCCTTGCGTACGTTGACTTTTAGCGGCAAAAACGGCCTATGTTTATTACTTAATATCTTCGTAAGTAATGGTCCGATTTGGATAATTCAAAAAGATATATCTTTCTTATGTCTTAAAGATTAACGTAGATACTAGTTATATTGAATTTTCTACAACAGTACTGATCCTCATTGCAATGATTGAAATTAAATGCAATTAGTGAGCTCACGAGTGAGTACTATCATCATCGGTTGCCTAACGTCCTTATGCGTGCGTGCCTTATTCTGTGGCTCGACTTTCGCCTGGCGCGGCAGCCAAATAAAAAGCCTAACAAAAGCCGGACAGGCCGGACATCGGTTATTTTGGCCGGACACGCAATCAAAAAGCCTAACTATGTCCGGCTTTATCCGGACGCCTGGCAACCCTATGTGCGTAGTAGTAGTATGAACGGGCGCGAGGCAAAGACGGAATTGTACGGAAATGTCGCTCTACAGTCACGTCGGAGGCTGATGAGCGTGACACGTAGAATCTGGGCAAATGCATTTTGTTAACTGTAGCCTTAACTGAAGACACGCTAACCACGTTGTGTGTTCCGCAGCAAGTGCAGCGTGATCGGCGATGGACCCGTCGCGGCGGCAGCGGACGCAGACCAAGGCCACGGCCGAGGAGCAGGCCTTGGACCAGATAGCTAGAGAGGTGAGTTCTTTAATCCATCTATCTATATATCGTCCTCTTTCGACGATGAGACATCTCCTATGATAATCTAATTGAAGATGTCATATTGTGTCGTCGCAAATGGACGATATACCTATTAAAAACATAAAAAAATGTATATTTCGTAGGTCTTATCTTTGCGTTGTTAATGGTTAACGCAGTTTAACTCGGCCATTTAATCATTTACTGTTGGTTACGACTCCGTATTTTCGGGCCTATTTACTATAGCCGCCGGGTCTGCCGCTAATGGCTTTCGCCAGGAAAATAGATTCAGTAATCCGTAACTTCGATCAAAACTTTACTGATACAAACAGAACCCTGGCTGAAACCGCTTTAACGACTAGTGGGTATTGGATACAATATCCTGTATTTGTTACCGTGATATTAGAAACGATAAGTTATTAACACCCGGTTCCGATCGAGCTATAGTAGCCGCCTATGGCGCTCATAGCAGACAATAGGATGTGTCGATGGCCATAAACGCGGGCGCACTGTGTCGCGGAAGGGGAACGATCGGAAAATTTAGCCACCTCGGCTGCCTGCCAGCATTATTGATCACTGTCTCAAGCGAACTATCGATTGGCTTGTTCGTTTTAAAGAGATCATGTTTAAAGCTGTCATTCTAACTGAAATGATTAGGTATAACGAAGTTAGAAACGACCTAGTTTATGATTTATAATGTGAAAAAAATACATCAAGATTTATTTTTTGTCGACAGAACTTAAATTAAACGATCATTAATTAAAAATTGCTTACTAACATTCATATTTTTTATACTTACCTACTCCAAAAATAATCACCGATCTGCCGATTAAAACACAGTCATATCGATAGTTTAACTAACTTTTAATTTAATCTAGTATATCGCATCATGTTTGTTCACAATAAGTATTGATATAGAACTAATTTATAATTTAAACATTACATTTATTTATCGCAATTCATGCTTAAAGAGCTTATCATTAGATAAGAATTATCAGATTATTATTATTATAATGAGCTAATTTATAAAACTAAAATACTAATATAATTTGCATTTGCACAATTAACCTTTACAAAGTTGTCAAAATTCGTCAGGTTTTTATTATTGCTAACAGTTTGAATAATAAATCTTGTTTGTCTGAACGTACATTAATAAGACAAATAAGACATGGAAATGCGTGGTAATAAATGAATGCATCTTACCTATTAATTTGCCCCGTTTGTGGGCGGCCGCTCGTACGTAGAGCCCGCGAATTCTCGTGATGCACTCCGTACGCGCCTCCGATCAGTTGCTGCATCGGTGCACCGCCGAAACGAATGCACAGTGGGCTGTATGCATCAATATTGAGATTGTGAACAAAGGAACTTATTCCCTCAATAATAAAGAATTATTCGTCAGCTAGCTTTTCTTTCATTTTAAACTTCTGTAGTTAAGAAGAGCTTTCCCTTTCTTTTTAATGTAATTCATATTTGTTATGAATGACTGAGCGACAAAACTTTTAATTCTAATCGATCTACTAATGCGGAATCGGTATTGATCTTAGGCAACTTATTTACTGCCGTCTGGGCACGCCGAACTTTTGCACTTCGATGCTATGTTGCTCAGGCAAGAGGCTACTTTTTACCTGAAATAGTAACTAATCAATCATTTAAATAGAAATAGAGCGATTGTAGGTTTATTAACTCAAATGAGTTAGTCTCCAGAACATACATTTTCTTATTTGAAAACTAGCTAGCTCGGCGAACTTCGTACTAGGTACTGACCCAGTCAATTATTGTAGAAAATGTGAAACGGCCAAGCCACATATTTTGACTAAGGTATTGCTATTGCTAGAAGCTTGGCTCTACATGCGATCTGATAACTTTTTCACAGTGTTGTGGGCCATACGGTCTTAGCAATATTTCAAGTTTTTGGTGAAATTTCATTGTTTGTGGAACAAAACAGCATGTTGCACTGTGCAGTTGGTCACCTGCCGTGCTGCACCGCGTTCAAAATAGACTTCCGCGTGTTCGCACCTCCGCGTCACACTTGGGCGAGGGTGTGCAATGCGACAGTAACATTAACTGCAGCAGCACTAACTGTATGCGTCGTGGGAACTGCGCTGGAGGAACGAGGAAGATGCACATATGAAAGTCTAATATGGATTGTAGTAGGGAAACCTATTCTGTCTCGCCCATGTAAACAACTTTTTAGACGTTATTTTCAGATCAGACCTTACAGACAGATATCTATCTATCAAGCGACTTTGAAATGTTTTAACTTATTCTTTGATCAAGATCTGGTTTCACGTAGTTCAAGTTTGATATAAAATACGCGTTTTGTGTAGTGACAGAATTTGCAGATTCGTTGGAACAGATCTAATAGCAAAGTCTATATTTATAGGCATTCTATATGTAGAGTTTAAATAAATAGAAGGATCAAAATTTTCTGGATATCTGCAATGTTATCCAAACAGAATAGGATATTTACATAGGGCTGTCAATAGTTCGAAATTCATTATTTCCAGAATGTAAAGCTTTGAAAGACAATTTATAAGCTTTAATTTTCATAGGAATATATCCAGAAAAACTCAAAAAGAGATCCATAATGATCATTGTCACCAGTCTTAGCTTATTAGCAGGACCAAAAGCTGCCCCTTATTATTTAGATGGTCTGGTCATGAAGTGCTCTCCTTGCATTAATCTGAATTAACTGTTTACTGTCTGTCTATGACTCCAAAGACCTCGATTTTGTACTGAGACATCAGATAAATATTGTTTTAGATTGCTCTTTTAATTTTTCATCCATAGCGTATGCGCCGGCGCATGCCTCGGACGCGAAATAAAGCGCGTGCGGAAATAGCCGCGCGGCGGCGCTCGCGCTATTCCCAGCGCGCTGCATCAGCTGCATCGCGCACTAGATCGTAATGAGCTAATTATATTGACGATATAATTTACTTCACAAATCTTAATTTCAAATCACTTAAATCAAATGTTCTGCCTCGTGCACCCAGTCTGCTAACACAGCTGTTTGTTTCACGCTCCATCGGGCTCTACACAATTCGCGTCCGATCTTGCAATCTTCATTATTGCTATGTCGACATTGCTCTATCTTTTCTTTTCAAACACCCAGCGCAATTATTATGCAATTATGATTTCGAGATATTTCTAACAAATCAAAAGTTCCCAAAACCACTATAAACGCATGTAGGTATGCGTCTGCGTGACCTTTTTCGAATTAAATATGGCAAAAACAGATCTTTTGCTTTTTAAGCTTTATCATGACGTCTGAAAATGTGAGGATCTGACATTGAAGGTCTTCACAATTAATCAAGTGCGTTTAATGAATGCCGCGCAAAGCGGAACTAAACTTATGGCTTCCCCTCGGAAAAGGCGCACGTGAATATGTATTATAAATAATATGCTCTAATCGCGCTACGGGAATAGATTACCGGGTTGATGTACGAGTATGACAACTTTTATGGCGGCGTATTTCAAATACTTCGGTTTTTCTAATTACACTAACCTGTTTTATGATTATAAAATTGTTTGCTTTGTTTTGCTGTAGTCGTAAATGTCACCATGATGCATTGTGTAGGAACTGATCGATATAACAGTTGAGTATTTTGCAATTAATTTGAATGTCTGTCTCAATTAATATGATTACGTATCTAGTTATTTATTTGATTATTATACACAGTTTGATTTATAGACATACGGATATGTACATTTCCTACTTTTTACCATATTACGAGTAGGAAACGGTAAGAAAAATGAAGTAAGCCTTATTTCCAAGAATTTTTGCTGTGCATACACTCCACGACTTCACCTTATTTACTCTCCAAATCAAAATGATATGATTCCACGAGGTGTGATTTCAAGTACGAAGGAGCCACTCCAAACGAAACTCTCGAGTCTAATCTACGTTTCGAGTGGTTCAGTAACGTGCCGATCGGTTAAACGCTCCGGTAATTAGCCACTTGTACAACGGAAACTCATTACCATAGGCTAGCTCCTGTTCTCGAACCTTTACCATTTCTGCAGTCGTGGGCATATCATTAAAGATGGCATATAAGGATTCGCCTACCATGATAATCACTTAGAAGGTGCTTTGGCCTCTCATTTGAATACAATTTTGTTTTCGCAGTGCAATTTGCTATTATCTTTTTTGCCATGATTTTCTAGTATCGTCATCAGAGATGCTCAAGGTGATTGGAATGACTTTCATGTTAAGAAGTTGGTCGTCGAAAATTGTGTGTTAAGCATGACGTGCACTTCATCTTAGAAGTGGCAATAAAAATACAACGCTACATCCTTCCTTAATGTAAGCTTTATTGCTAAATTGTCTGCGCAATAGGATAACAACAGTTGCAGTGTCCATTTCACCTCTTTTTTGAATAGGTTGATTGAGATGAGGTCCCATCGTTAGAGCTCAATATTAGACCTGTGATTACAGGAACTCCTCAAATTATAGTGCATCAAGATCTTGTCTCCAGGGCAGGGATGGCGAACTAATATTGAGGGCACGCCACCAATCACAACATTCACTATAAAATGAAATAGTAAATAAGTCGTCTGTTAGTGCCACTGTAAAGTAAGGCTGTGGTAAGGCCTTGTCACTCGCCAGTGGCGCCACTTGTACTATACTCCTCATTGATAGCATTAGGTGTTATTTGATGGCACGTCTATGACTACATCAAACATTTTTTTCTGAAAAGTGGCACGTTGAGACATAAAGGTTCGCCATCCCTGCTCTAGGGTCTCAATTCCGCATTTATGTAACTTTAGTGAGGAGGGTCGGGGACCACCAGAAATAGGTCGCGCATCGCGGTTATTGCCCCGAGCCAGATCGATCCAGTGTCCCAGTTTGAAGCCTACCCGGAGTGGGGTGTATCCGTGTGCTACATTTTCAGGCTACTTCCCACAGCTGCATTGTGTACTGAAATATGTATTCCGATTATGTAAGGTCTCTCAAATCTACGTTGAATTATATTATAGATTGTTATTTTGCAAACAAAACTATAAACTTTTACTTTATTAAGGGGATTAGCATTAGCCTAAACTGTTAAATTGAAACTTAGCTAGGTTCATACCCAGACGGCCGCCAGTCTGGGGCTTGACGTCGAGCCTGCATCGATCTGTCTGCCCCAACCCTCGCCGCCTCCCACTCAGGTTGAGGTTGGGCTGATGCAATTTCCTGATGTCTTGAGCCATTGAACAAATATTTTGTGCTCTATTTAAAAACTTACATAGGAGTATCGATTCAGTTGTTTAAGTATCAGTCGGTAGTGTTTGCTCATTGTTATTACTAAGCATTCAGTTTCTACATCAGCACAAAAACTATAAGTTCTTTTGTGAAATTGATCAGAATATCAATAAAACGTAATAAATTCTACACCCCTTAGGCCCGGTTTTTTGATACGTAGTTAAAATAACCAATAGTCAAATTTGACAGATGTCAAATGACAAGTGGTTAAATATCAGAAAAAAATTTTTTTCGAACAATGGTTAGCTTGACTTTTAGTACATTTTTTAACTATTAGTTAACATTTTGTTAATATTTAACCATTAGTAGCAAAATTTAACAATTAGTTATTTTAACAAATTGTTAAATTATAGTTAAATTTTGCTACTAATGGTTAAATATTAACAAAATGTAAACAAATAGTTAAAAAACGTACTAAAAGTCAAGCTAACCATTGTTCGAAAAACATTTTTCTCTGATATTTAACCACTTGTCATTTGACATCTGTCAAATTTGACCATTGGTTATTTTAACTATGAATCAAAAAACCGGGCCTTAATTGGTATAAGAAAGACAACCATTTTGAACCATTACCTACAAAGAAAATATTAGATTTGTTTTTATGCCATCTTTATGCTACATCATTATGTTTTTATGACTCCTAAAATCTGGGCCAGATGATTACGCCATGGGATTGCGTTGAATGTGAAAGTACGTAAAACAATGTTCAGTCGTGTTAAAAATAGCTGTCAGTGCAAGTTTAAAAATAAAGCGCATATGCGACTCCTAGCTGCGTTACTAAGCAATAAGCATCCTCCATTGTAATTTCGCGCGACATCTTTCAGACAGGGCGGTCAAGGGGGGTTGTCCCTTTGGGCGGGCGGCTGGAGGGGCGCTCTGGGCGGCAAGGGGAGGGGAACTCCAGCGTCAACGACCGCCACTCGCCGGTCTGCGATCGCGAGAGAACACCGTCGTCCCATCGATGCTTCATCCGATTCTTACAACTTTCGACGACTGCAATCGTGTTTCGTGTTCTCATTGTCGTGCC